GCCAGCTGATTTAGTAGTTCTTACTCCTGTCAAATCCCAATTTGACCACCTTCCAAAATCTGTGCGGTGAGGAACCTTCTCTAGCACAGACTTCCCCATCCACAAGAGAGGAAACTGCAGCCATCCAAAAAATGTGGAAGCTGTATACTTTCTAGCTCAATGCCACATCAAGAATAACTTGAGTTTGGCCCCCAGACAGACATAGCAAGATGTCTGATCAAGATTCAGTTGCTTTGTTCCTGTCCTTCTATAAATCAAAACTAGCTGAGATGGAACTGTACTCTGCTTGGGAAGGCAATGAATAAGCTGTCACAAGCTAAAACTAAAGCAGGTTGAATAATTTAGTAGCTAGTTTGCAGCAAATATTGTGCGTGCAATGTGTTTTTCATACTGATTGAGAACACACATGACTTGTACAATGTGGGAAATGATTGATGTGTTTGGGAGATGTAAAAATCTTATTAAGTGACTTTGCCTTTTTTTACTAGTTTCCTAATTCAGTTTAAGTAGTCACTTAATAGTTAATAAATAAAACATTTTGTGAAGGGGAGAAAATATTTGCCTGAGTAAATGTAGGTTGATGAATAAATAAATATTTGAGTATGTTGAGTGAAAGTAATAATATAGCCTGAAGCTTTTTTGTGTAGAAAATACCATTTATTGTGGATATGAAAATAGCAATCTTGGTTAAGACCAGAGATGCAACAATAGGTGATACAGTACAATTGGTTTGATTTAACCATCATTCAGATCTACTGCTCATTTGTAAAATATTGACAAGAAGTTGTTCTGCAAGTCTTAATAACAAAAATATCAGCTAGCTTTGTTTCCTCCTTCCAAACAAACCAATCCCATACATTAACAGGTACCATAAAATGTTATATATGCAAAAGAAAACTTTTGTTACAAATAGGGATTTTAGTATCAATTGATTTGTATTTAAAAAAAGCTTACATTAATTCAGTACGGTAAAAATAAAAATTGGCTTCAACAGGTTATAAAAACACTTCAAAACAAGCATATATAGAAATAACTTAATCTGTAAACATAGAAAAACAATTTTATAAAAATAAACATCTGATGCACTGTACAATAAGACATCGTCCTTCAGTAGGCACTGTTACTGTTGAGTCGTCCTAGATGTTGTTCCTACAAAAATACTTTTTCATTAGTGCCATGTCCAAAATAAAGAGAAAAGAAAATAACCTTCAGGTAAACACTTAGCTAATCTTCTGTGGGCTGCATTGGGGATGTACTGTACCTTCTGCTAAAGTCTGTCTAGCTGCAATGAAATAGCTTATTGGCACTGTCCCAAATGTAATGTTTTTGTAACAGTTGTGGAGTCTGAATCAAAGGGTTTGGGGACAACTTAGATGCTGAAAGAGGACTTTTGCTTTGTTTACTTTATAGGATTTCCTCTACCCCATACTCAGTCTCTTTTTGATAGGAGGAAGGAAATGAGTTATTCTTTTAAACACTGCATTTCTGGGGAATGCAGCTGTTTATTCAGTTGCTGAAAACTTATTTCTGCAATTCATTTGCTATCTTCTACAGGGCCTCTGGGAGCTGAGCTGTATTCAGTAAAATCCAGATCATGGTGGTCTGTTTGGCAAGCACTGGGAAAACACTTGCGCCTGCCAAAACTGAACAGATTTGGCCTGGAAGTTTTACTTGCTTCTCTTAAACCCTTCCTCACAAAGTGGTCAGGACTGCTGACTGGGGGTATGCTTTAGAGCTTTACAGCCAAAAGCTACTCAGTTATGCATGTGCAACCGCTGTCAAGTTAGTGTGGTTACATACATAGGTATTACTGAGGGTAAACTAGATACTGGTAAATTTGCTGAAGGAAAAAAAATCACTGCTAGTTTCTCAATTATAATTTGACTGTAGAAACTAACCAGCCTTCATTATTTAACATACTAAAGTTGGATGCTTGATAAACTCATTTGTCACACTTAAAGTGCAGCATTACCATGAACAATGGTTAGTCTTTCCCTTATTAAGTAATAAGGTGATTTTTCTTTGTGGCATCTGCTTTGATTACTAAGCTGTATATTGAAATAGCTCTCTCCTGTGGCAGTGCTAAGGAACTTGAGCCAAACAATTTATAAATCTGTCACGCATATGCTTATCCTTTTAGACTATTAATTAAGCTAGAGCTTGTCAATGGATGTATCGCGCACAGTTTATAGTAGGATCTTCATACAGAAAACTTGATTGTGAATTCTCTCCCAGGCTTTAGCTGGTTGTTTTGAAATGCTATAAGGTAACTATGAATGGGAGAGCTCTGTACTAGCTGGACTGAAATAGCTGCTAATACTGTGCACAAATAGGGAACTGCCAGACTTGATAAACTGATCACAGCCACTAGGAGCAGGTAAGGAAAAGGGTGTTGATGAAACAGCCATCAGGAAAATGCTTAAACTTCAGGTTTGCAGGATTTTAATTCTAGAAACAAGCTAAATAGTCAGATCTAAGCCCAATAAAGAAAAATATTCATGCTTAAGTACTATCAGTTTGGTTTCTCCACTTGAAAGCACCCAATTCTGCATTGCAGTAGTAAATTGTGTGTCCTGAGGTGTGTGGTGTTCTCCACTGTGGCTGCATAGTGATGTTCTGGCATATGCTGTACCGGGTTAGATCTGCAGGTTGGGTATCCATCCTGGGTGGAGTGTGACTATGAGCTATTAACAATTTTCCCCCTCATCCAGCTGGATAAAGGTGACTTATCTACAGTTGACTATGAATTCTGCACTAATAATTACCATTCTTGTCCAATACTAAAGAGCGTACTACAGTGATTCGGCTACTTTTTAAGGGCTTTTAAAACATCTCCAGCCCCTATGATATACACATTTGTTTCAGTATTTATAGTTTCATAGTTTCTAGGGTCGGAAGGGACCTGAATAAATCATCTAGTCCGACCCCCCTGCCATGGCAGGGAAGAGTACTGGGGTCAAACCCCCCCAGCAAGGTGTTCATCTAGCCTCCTCTTAAAGACCCCCAGGGTAGGAGCCAGGTTATGCATTATTGCCACCTTGTCTTTGTAAGGGAATCCAGGCAGTGGAGAGGAAGGATTGCACTTTAAAATTGCTGTTAACCTGCCTTTTTGCTCTCCAGCACATCTCAGCATAGAGTTGGTTGCTGGTAGGAGGAAGTCTTCTGGGCTGGCTGACTTTCTACAGTCAGCAGTTTGTTCTCCTTTCCTTGCCTGCCCCCCCCCCCC